ATATTCTCTCGAACGATGTGCAAATCATTAAACATAATCATTCATAGACCATATAAATGAAAATGCAATAATAACAAAAGTAAAAACACGTGAAAATAAGTAAATGGAAAATAAGTACATGGTCGACCATCTAGATTGAAAATGAACTTCTAACCCTGTTCTTCTTCTTTAACTTTAAATTACTACAAAAACTTTAAAATTTTATATTTTCTTCATTTCAAGGCCAAATTGCGTGCTCTTTGTATTGTTAGAAAGATTTTGCATTTACGTGTAAAATTATTTTATTAAAAAATGTGCATTTAAAATAAATTTTAAAAGAATGATACTCGAACAGAGTAAATGGAAACCTCGGACCACATCGAAAACGCCTAATAACTTATTGTTCCATTTTGCGTAACAGTCATTTCTTTACGAGTACGTATTGGATGAAATTAGGGCATTTAGTCAATTTCAGTGCGAAATCATATTATTGAACATGAAAAGTAATTTGGATTTCAATTAAAATCTTAAATTAAAGTCTTATGTGAACCTTATCTTTCTAAATTAGAAAAAGTCTTAAGTGCCCAAAATCAAAATTTTAATTTAAGTCAAAATTAATAATTAATTTAACAACATATTTCATTAGATTTACAGCTTTTTAACTGTAAATTTCATCAACTTTTATCAAAATCTACTAAAAATCTGATTTTAATCTCCACCAAATAGGAGTTTAATTAAAGTCTCATGTGAACCTTAACAAGAAGAATTTAGTTGGCCATCTTTTGTTGTTTATTCTGCTCTTTTTGTTGTGGTTCTATTATTTTTCATTGTCAATTGTGAAAGGTGCGTTCCATTTTCGAATCGGCTGGTATCATTTCAATGTCTCTTAAACTTCGCATGAAATGACTGAAAGAGAAAAACAGTAGTACTGAAATAGATTACATATCCTCTAGATGTCCTTAGATTAAGATTGGCTGTTGAACCTGGATATAAAACAATGTCATTTTATAATGGTTTAGAACCTTCTGTTATTGGAATCGCTCCATCTATTGCAGTTAATTTTTTCGTTGACATCTCTCACATAATTTCAATTTTGTTTTGTTATTACCAAGTTTTAAAACCCCGACCCGTGAAAATGAAAATAGCTAGTCGAACCAATTAGTTACATAAAGATAAATAAACATATTTTCAAATAAAAATCAATATTAGATAATAGTATAATATTATTAATTGAGATATTTAGAGAGTTTTTTTATTTATTTTTAATTAAAATAAGTTAGAAAAATAATTAACTCATTTAATAAAGTAAATAAAACTGTGAGAGCTAAAGGAAACATCTATCCATGTTGAAACGTCTTATTGGTCCATTTTCCGAAACACCTAATTCTTTGCGAGTTGGTTGGATGAAATTAGAGCATTTAGTCAATTTCAGTGTGAAAGCATATTTTATATATATATATATATGATTTAAGTTAGGACACTTATTGTTCAAGGATTTAAGCCTGGGCTAGGTTCAAGGATTTCTTATAGTTGACAAAGCTTTTGAAATTATAAGTTGATCAAATCAAAATTCATTTTTAATCATAAATTTCATTGAATCGCAATTTATATCAACTTTTAATACACATTTTATGAGATTCACCAACTTATAATCTATTCGTGAAACAGGGACTTATAAAGGTAAAAAGAACTTGCAATTTGGCCTTGACTACAAAAGAATGTTACGTGGGGATATTACGTGTTTACAACTTGGAAAAGGACGTATGGGTTTTGATTACAAAAAAGGAATAATTTTATATGACGTTATCTTCATGTATTAATGGAAGTATCCTATTTTTGACTCTATTACAAAGTTCTATAATATGAATTCAAACTTCGATCACGCTAATTAAATGAAACCTGTGCTTAATTAATCTTAACCTTTTTCGGTATGAAAATTCATTGGTTAAGTAATTAATCCCAATTTGCAGTGACTGATTTCCTCCCAACATTGAAGGCATCAGTGTGCTTGCTGATGATTGAGCTGACTGTGCATTATCATTGGATCCAGTGTTAGCCATTGAAACTCTGATACCAAGTTGAAGAAATGATAAAAAGGAATACTGATATTGTAGCAGAAGACAAGTTAAATTAAGAAATTGATTGAATTAATTCAGTACTATCCAATGAGTAAATAACAGCTATATTGTGGTCCTAAGGTGCACATTAGCAGCTCCTTATTCACTGATGATTCACTCCTCAAATGCTTAACTGATGCTTGTTATATTTCAACAGACTGTAAGAAACTGAACAGCGGATATATCGACACTGTCAGATAAATACATCTACAGAACTTGCCTTTTAAGGAATGGTTTTAAAGAGTCAGTCAAGTCATAAAGCCCCTTTCTGGAGGTACCGACTGTTTTAGATCTGTAAAGTCCCTTTTAAGGAATGATTACAGAAGAATTATGAAAATATTGCCTATGTTAATGTTTGAGCCTTTTGATTTCCTTAACTTTTCTTTATGGTCACACATTTTTAGTGGTGAAAGATGAAAAAATAAAATGAACCGCTATCCGATCTTTTAATATGTTTATCTTTAAACATTGATTTTTCATTGTCATTTAGTCTCTAGTTCTCTCCTTTATTTTTCCAAAAAATCAATTCAACATGAAAAGAATTTTGCTGTTACTTAAAGTTTCAAATCTTAATAAATTCTGATATGGAAGAATATTATCAATGGAGAAGAAGATAATTCATATTCATTCCTCACACATGGTTACAGCGATTTGTGAGTACATTTATATGTAAACTGTAAATCTATACATGGTAAATGAAACTACTAATGGAAGCGAATTATATATGGTAAATGCGTCCTTACTGTAATCACGCACTGGAATTCTGCTTGCTGTAATGCTGAGATTCTGGTTGCTAAATACTCCCCCCTCAAGTTGGAGTATGGAGATCCGTAATACCCAACTTGGAGCGAAAGAAGATAAATAATTCATGTCCCAATGGTTTAGTAAAGATATCAGCTTGTTGCTGAGATGTTGGAACATAGGAGGTAGTGATGAGACCGGACTTAATTTTCTCACGAACAAGAAGACAATCCAATTCAATGTGTTTGGTTCGTTCATGAAAAACCGGTTACAAGCAATATAGAGGGCAGCCTGATTGTCACAATTGAGCAGAATAGGTTGTGGATGTGGCACTGTGAGTTCCTGTAGAAGGAGACGAAGCCAAACAAGTTCACATGTTGTAGTAGCCATTGCACGATATTCAGCTTCAGCAGAAGAACGAGAGAAAGTAGTTTGTTTCTTAATGCTCCAAGAGATGGGGCTATCACCCAATTTGATGATGAAACCAGTCGTGGAACGTCGTGTGAGTGGACAACTTGCCCAATCAGAGTCACAGAAGGCAGATATCTGAAAGTTACAATTGGATGAGAAGAAGAGTCC